GCATCCCCGTTCCCTGGCTCTGCGACGGCGAGCGGCAGTGTCCCGACGGGACGGACGAGCAGTGCGGTGAGCAGGGGGAAGCTGGAACTCGTCCTCTGTCGTGGGGTGGTCTGGGGGGCTGTGCTGCATCGAGGGGCACTGGTGCTCTGGGGACCATGGGGGGTGGGGCAGGGCAGGCCAGAGGTGCCTTGCTCCTTGCTGGCTCTGCCGTGGCTCCTGTGTGGCACCCTGCAGGGACGTGTGTGCCCCAGAGCTCCGGGGGGATGTCTGTGGCATGGCGACATATCCTGGATCCCATGCTGAGTGAGGCCGTCCCCAATCTGCCAGAGAGCCCTGTTAGGGGCTGCTGTGGGCCAGCCCCTTGGCAGAGCCCCTCAGGCATTGCCAGCACTTGCCCAGTGCCAGGACGGAGGGGACCCTTGTGGTTGTGCTGGAGCACACCTGTGACTGTGTGCTGTCGCTGCAGCTGTCCCCTGTGGTGGGGACCCCCATGTTTGGCAGTGTGACGATGGCCAGTGTGTTTCTAGCAGCTGGCGTTGCGATGGTGTTGCTGACTGCCTGGATGGCTCCGATGAGCAGGACTGTGGTACGTAGTCTCTGCTGGGAGGGGTGCTGTGACTAGGGGTGGCTGGGGGCACAGGGCAGGGTGCGAGTGCTGCTCTGTTCCCTCAGTGTGTGGGGCAAAAAAGGTGCAATGTCCTGGCACCCACCACTGCATCCCGCACTGGGAGTTGTGCGATCGGCACCAGGACTGTGAGGATGGTTGGGACGAGGAAGGGTGTCCCCAGCAGCCCTGTCTGCCTGGGCAGTGGCAGTGCAGGAACAGAGTGTGCATCATGGCTGAGTGGAAGTGCAATGGGATTGATGACTGTGGCGATTCCTCAGATGAAGATGTCTGCGGTAAGCAAGCACGCTGGATGCCCCTCAGTGGGATGAGACCTTCCCAGACCATGTGTGAAAAACAGGGGGTACTTAGCCTTCCTTGGCCCCAGCTCCCCTTGGGATGGTGGTGAGCATCTCAGGAACCCATTGATGCTTTGAGGGTGCCCCCATGAGCCTGGGACCCATGGCTTCCCCTGTGCCCACCTGGTATCGATCTGTCGTCCTGACATGAGCTATGTGTGCCATAGCCCCCTGCCCGCCTGGTATGGTGCGATGCGATGAGGGGAAGTGTATCCTGGAGTCCCTGATGTGCAATGATGAGGATGACTGCCTGGACGGCACCGATGAGCCCAGCACATGCGGTGAGTTGTGTGTGGCTGCTGGCCACTGCCTGCGTGGCTGGGGCCACGGGGAGCCGCAGAGATGTTCTGCCTCACATTGCCCTTCCACTGTGTCCCCGAAGGTCGGAGCTGCTTTGTACGCAACGGGGGCTGCGCGGAGACGTGCACTGACACGCACTGGGGAGTGCAGTGCTCCTGTGGGGCTGGCTGGGTGCTGCAGGCAGACGGGCAGAGCTGTGCTGGTAAGGAGAGGTCAGGGTGTGCGCGCTTCGGGCACATGCGGCCTCAGCAGCTGAGAGCAGAGTCTCCCCAGAGCCCACATTCATGCAGGAACGCCTGCCTCAGCCTCGCTCCTGCCTGCGTGTCACATCTGGCCCTGCCAAGGCTGTGTCTAGGTCGTGTTCCAGTGGCAGCTGGTGCATTTTGGGGCTGGGGCCTGGGCCCTGGTATCTAAGGAGCCTGCCTGTGGTCCCTGGGCAGCAGTGGTGGTGCTGTCCAGGGGCAGCTACCCAGCTGTGCAGCAGCTGTGCCTACCCCTGCAGATGTGGACGAGTGCTCCCTGGAGTACAGCCCCTGCAGCCAGCTGTGCAGCAACACCCCGGGTGCTTTCAGCTGCGCCTGTCTCCAGGGCTACACCCTGTGGCACGGCACCACCTGCGAAGTGGCAGGTAGGGTGAGCTGGGAAGCCTGGGCTGTCTGAGGGGCTGGGCAGTTCCCCCAGCTAGCTGCATCCCCCACTCACCGGGTGACATCCCCCTCGCCCTGGCAGACAATGCAACGCAGATCCTGCTGGCCGTGGGGCAGGACCTGGCCCTTCTGGATGTGCGGACCCAAGCCTACCGGCCCTTGCTCTCCACCGAGACTGAACCCCGTGCCCTGGTGTATGACCTGCTGCGAGAAACCTACTACTGGCTGACAGAGGATGGCGAGCTCCACACTCACGTGCCGGGGAAGGGCACACGGCCCCTCTATCCAGGTGGGGAGGAGTGAGGGTTCTGGGTGCCATAGTGGGGCTGAGTTGGGTGCTGAGAGCTGTCCTGCCATGCTACCCCTGCCTTTCCTGTAGAGGAAGGGGCAACCTGGGTTTTGCCTCCTGGCCTGGAGCAGGGGTGGTGTGCCTTAAACTGCTGTCTCTGCAGATGCCGGGGAGGTGAACAGCATCTCCGTGGACTGGTACACAGGGCAGCTGTACTGGGCCAGCAGTCACCCTGCAGCCATCTGTGCAGGGCTGGGCGATGGCCGGGGCTATGTGGCAGTGCTGGGGAAGGATGTGGCACCAGAGCAGCTGACAGTGCATCCAGCTGCAAGGTGAGGAGCGAGTGAGCCAGGGTTGTCCCTGGGCTTCTGGGTGAGCGATGCTGATGCTGACCGTGTCAAGCCTGCTGTGGCGGCACTGGTGTTATGCCGTGAAGTGGGTGCTTAGTGGCTGCCCCCAGGTCCCTGTACTGGATCAACCGGGGGCAGAGGGGCCGGACAGTCGTTGCTGCAGCTGGCATGGATGGCTCAAACCGGCGGGAGCTCACAGTGGTGTCCATGGAGGAGCCTGTGGGGCTGAGCCTGGACCATGTGGCTGGCAGGCTGTACTGGATCAGCGAGTACAAGGAGGTAAGGACGTGGGGCAGCAGCGCTCTGCCCCCCCCAGGTGGGGAGAGGGGAGGGTGACCTGGATCCCCTGTGGCTATGGCCGAGGCATGGGAGGGATCAGGGAGTGGTGCCCAGGTCTGGCATGCATCCCCTACCACTGTGAACCCCGTGGCTGCAGGACAGTGCTGGGGTGTCAGGGTGCCACATGGTCACTGTGCCTTGCCTTGTCCCCAGTCCATTGAGACGCTGCGGGTGGATGGCAGCGGGCGCCACTCCTTTCCTGCTGTCCTGAGGAGCCACTCGGAGCCACTGGGCCTGGCTGTGTTTGAGAGCCGGTTCTTCTGGACCGATGGCACAGAGCTGGCATCAGCCACCCGGGCCTCTCCCCAGGAGCATGCGGTGTTGCTCCGTGCCCCTGTCTCTGCTTTCACTGTGCTGCATGCACTGCAGCAGCCTCCCCGTGAGTACCTTGCTGGGCACCAGTGCAGGGCTGGCAGCCACCCCCACCACTTCCCTGGGTGCTAGGGGAGGCTGCACTGGGTCCTGGATCTCACTGGGTCCTGCCCGATGGCTCTCCTGGTCCTGTAGTGAGGGGGCTTGTGACAGAGGGGACATACGAACCTGTGGGAAAGCTGCCAAGTCCACAGCTTCAGGCAGACCTGAGCCCTCCTACCTCATGTGACACTGCTACCTTGCTTGGGGTAGCTGGCCCATGTCCAGCCCTGGGACAGCCTGTGTTTTTTCAGGATTGGGAGAGGCATAGTGGGGTTCATGGCTGCTTGAGCTCTTAATGCCCCCTTGATTCCAGGGGACACTGCTGCGTGTGCTCCGGGCCTGTGCAGTCACCTTTGCCTCCTGTCCCCTGTGCACCCTCAGGGCTACAAGTGTGCCTGTCCTGAGGGCCTCTTCCTTCTGCCCTCAGGGAAATGCGCAGGTGAGCAGGGTCTGCAAGGCAGGCTTGGCTGGCTGGGGCGGGGTGCATCCCTGTGGGAGTCAGAGCAGGGCTGTAAGGGGCTGTGGGATGAGGTTCCCAGCACACACCAGTGCTGTTGCGTTTCTACCTTGGTTCATGCTGGTGACCCCATCCAGTGCCCCTGGGGCCATGCTCACACACTGCCCTTGTACCCTACAGAGCTGTCCATCATGTATGCATCAGGGAAGGCCATCTCCCTGGTGCAGGTGGGCCCTGGAGCACGCAGCAAATGGGTGAAGGAGTGGCAGGAGCCCATCCACCTACAAGATGTAGACTGGCAGAGGTCGGTGCTCTATGGGACAGATGATCATGGAACATTGCTGCGTGTCGTGGGGCACCCTGGCAGGAGAGAGACCATTGCAACTGGGTTGCCAGGTGAGACCCTATAGGGGTGATGGAGGGCATGCTCCCCTTCCTGGTGCTCCCTGAGGCCTGAGGATCTCCTGGGTGCACAGCAGTCCCATGGTGCCCACATGGGGCCCGTGGCGAGGCACTGGGCAGCTGTGCCCTGGTTCTAGGGGCAGGGGGGACGCAGGAGGAGGAGCAGGGTCGTAGGACATCCCTGTAACTGCTTGCCTGCCTACTCTTGCCAAGTCTGCTCTGCCCGTGTGGACATCCGCTTGGGGGACCTGTACTGGCTCGCATGTAACCGAAGGGACATCGGGGTGATCCAGGCGTCTGACATGTCCCTGCGCATCCTGCACCGTGCTCGCAGCAGCATCCAGCACCTCTTCTTGGACTGGCAGCGGGGCAGTCTGTACTGGCTCCCCCCTGCAGCAGCTGAGCCTGGCTGGAGGTGCTCCTTGGGATGCCTGGAACGAGACGTGGCCGGGAGACCTGCCTGTGGCCATGGATAGCAGAGCCTTCAGCCTGCTCTGGAGCTCAGCCCTGGGTGAGCCCTGGTGGTATCTGGAGCAGGGGTAGTCACTATAGGCAGGAGTGACCAGCCCCGCCCTGCATGCAGCAGGTCCCTGCCTGGGCAGTGGGGTACTTATGGGGCAGACTGTCCCATGACTGAGCCTCTGGCCTCGATTATGAGGTCCCTGCCATAGCTGTGGGTTGTGGGGGCACGGGGTGGGGTGCCTGCAGACCACAGGGTCCTACCATCCCTCTGCCTTGCAGGCCTTCGGGCACTGAGTCTGACCAAGCGGCAAGCAGTCACTGTGTCACCCAGCTGGTCCCATGGCCTTGTGGCCGCCTTCGAGCCATACCTGGTGTCAACAAATGGGACAGCTCTGCTGCTGTGGGACCGGAGGACGCTGGCCCTTGTGCTATCTGTGCCAGCAGCAGGTGTACAGGAGGTGGTGGCCTTTGTGGGCTTGGAGCCGCAGGCTGGTAAGAGTGGCTGTGGTTCTGTGCCTGGTGCTGTACCCAATGGGGCTGGGTAGCCTGTGCTACTCAGAGCTGGGGCAGGGTGCCTGGCTGCTGGTGGCCATGTGGGGTGCCCTTGGAGGTGCCTGGAGTGTGGGGAGGGCACAGCCCTAAATCTAGGCTCATGTTCCTGTGCCAGTGCCTCTGCCAGTGCCACCAACCAAGCAGTCTGCCCTGCTGCTCCCTCCACTCGTGACTGCCACTACAAGAACAACAACAAGCACCACTGCTGCTCGGCCCACCACCTCCACCATGCGACCTGCTCGGCCCACAACCTCCAACC